CCCCCCCGACCCCTTCCAGCCCCCCTCGCTGGCTGCAGAGAGGCTGGTAGGGGAGGGGGGCTCCAGCACCAGCCACCCTCCCTGTCGGCCCCCCAAGGACTGTGGCCAGCGCCTGGCTCCCCTTTCCAACAGCCAGCAGGCGGGAAATGGGAGAGCCACTGTGGTGTCGTGTCGTGGTTGAGTGCGCAGACGCTAATCTGGGAGAATTGGGTTTGATGATTCCCCTGGCTGGATGACCTTGGGCAAGCCATACTTCTGATAAGAGCCGCTCTTGAAAAAGAGCAGTTTCTGTCAAGAGCTCTCTCGGCCCCACCTACCTCCCAGGGTGTCTGTCTGTTGTGGGGAGGGGAAGGGAAAAGGAGTTTGTAAGCCGCTCTGAGACTCCTTCGGGTACTGAAGGGCCATGGGGGATAAACCCAATCAGTTTGGTGTGGTGGTTAAGTGCACAGACTCTAACCTGGGAGAGCCGGGTTGGATTCCCCCACTCCTCCTCCACTTGCACCTGGCTGGGTGACCTTGGGCAAGCCGTAGTTCTGACAAGAGCTGTCCTTGAACAAGAGCCGTTTCTGTAAGAGCTCTCTGCCCCACCTGCCTCACCGGGGGTCTGTCTGTTGTGGGGAGGGGAAGGGAGAGGAGTCTGTAAGCCGCTCTGAGACTCCCTTGGGTAGTGAAGGGCCATGGGGTATGAATCCAATCTCTCCTCTTCTTCTCCTCCTTCTCCTTCTCCTTTCCTCTCATCCCTCGCCCATCTCTCTGCTGGGATAGGCCGCTCAAGGCAGGGGAGGCAAGCGGGCGTCCCAAAGGGTTAGCCTGGCGGAAGCAAGGCAGAACGGAAGCCAGCCTGCCGCTCGGGGGCTTCCCAGTTGTTCTGGTGGCTTTTAGACTGAGATAGAGGGGCGTGTGTTTCTGCTGAGGCGGAGGCCCTGACGAAGTGGGCTTTGGCCCATGGCGGCATGCACGTCAGGAGGCCTGCGGGTCTTTCGGGTGCCCCCAGACGCTTTCCCTGTTTTTGCAAAACGGTGGTGTCAGGGCTCTAGGTATCTGTATGGCGCCTCCCCTCTCCAGAAGGCCCTGGGCACAGGCAACATGCAAGGAAGGGAGAGGGGCTAAGAAGGCTGCTTGCCTGGCATGGGGGGGGGGCAGGGTGCAAGGGGCCCAGGGCAGACCCTGAAGCCCTCATCTTATGCAGCTTCCTTGCCGGGGCTGGCCCGAGCCAGGAGGGAAACCCTGCCCCCCTCCCCAGGGTGCTGCCCAAAGGCGGTGGTGGTGGTGGAGGAGGAGGAGGCCAGTGCCCGTCACGGCCCACAGGGTGGCAGAAGCCTGCAGGGTTTTCAAGGCCAGAGAGCAGCAGAGGTGGTTGGGCGTGGCCTGGCTCTGCGGAGCGACCTGGGACTGCCTGGGGTGTGTGTGTCTCCCATCCAAATACTAGTCAGGACTGACCCTGCTGGGCTTCCGGGATCTGGGGCGGTCCGGCCATCCGGGGCTGCCCGGGGCAGGGCAGAGCACAGATATGCGCTCAGTGACTCCCAAGGCCCCGGTCCACTGGGCCACTGCCTCGCCTCTGATGGAACCGGCGTGTGTCGGAGCATCCTGTCAGTTTGCGGGAGGAAGCCCAGAGCTCTGCGGGCCCATGAAGCCTGGCTGCTGAGCCTGCCGGCTGAGACGGCCGAGAGCGAAGATGCTGTAAGCATCGGAGGGCGTTTCCTCCTGGCCGGAGAGAAGCCACGTGGAAGCATCCCGTTCGGCCCTTCGAGCAAAGCTCTTTCCGCCCCCCTGCAGGCTTTGAAAGAAGGGGGGGAGCCACCGCAGCCACTGCAAGAGAGCCCCCCTTCCGGCAGGGTCCTCTCCCCTGGCCCCCTTCCCCGGCAAAGCCTTCCCCTCCCCACCGGGGCCTGCCCCTCTGCTCCCAGCGCCAGGGAGGGACTGACCGGCCGACGGGCCCCTTCTCTCCCTCGCAGGCAGCTGCTTTCTGTGCCTGGTGGATGTGGTGCCCGTGAAGAACGAGGATGGGGCCGTCATCATGTTCATCCTCAACTTCGAGGTGGTGATGGAACGGGACCTGCTGACCAGCCCGGTCAAGAACACCAACCACTGGGTCTCCCCGGCAGCCTGGCTCCCCACAGGTGGGGGCCTCTCGCGACCGCATGCACCGCTGGCAGCCGCATGGGGGGGGGCAGGGGGGCCTGGCAGCTCAAAGGGCTCGGCCCGCCCGTTCAGGACCTCTGGCTGTCCGCACACTCCTGTCCGCCTCCGGCTCCGGTATCCGAATGCGCCTCTGCGTGGCTGCAGTGGCCTCTGCGTGGCTCCAGGGCTCCCTGCCGCAGACGGCTCCGGATTCAGCCTCTGCCTGGTCCCTCTGCCCCACTGGGCCTCTGGTCCGGAGAGCTGGAGCATCCAGGAGGAGGCCTGGCCAGTAGGAACAGGGTAGGGCCGATCCCCACGGGGGACGCCTGCAGAGGGGCCAGTGCATCAGTTCCTGTCCTCTGGGCCTTCCTGCATCAGTTCCTGCTTAGGGCAGGGAAGGTGTGAATTGCTGCTTCTCTCTGGCAGCCCAGACCAGGACTACAGCTGCATATTTGCAACACTAGAATAATAAACTTTCAGAAAATGAACGGTGGCCTTCGCGGCCAAGAGAGAACAGATATCTTGAGCCACCCCCAAACCAGGTTCCCGAAGAATCGGCAGCCATTGCTAGAGAGCAGCTTGCAGGAGCCTTTCCATGTGGGCAGCAGGTGTCAGGCAAACCCCAACCGTGCAAGGAGAGCCAGTCTGGTGGCGTGGTTAGGAGTGCGCAGAGGACTCTTGTCTGGGAGAACCGGGTTTGATCCCCCACTCCTCCTCCACTTGCACCTGGCTGGATGACCTTGGGCAAGCCACAGTTCTGATAAGAGCTGTCCTTGAAAAAGAGCCGTTTCTGTCAAGAGCTCTCTCAGCCCTGCCCACCTCCCAGGGCGTCTGTCTGTTGTGGGGCAGGGAAGGGAGAGGAGTCTGTCAGTCGCTCCAAGTGAAGGGCCATGGGGTATAAATCCAGTCTCCTCCTCCTCCTCCTCCTTTTCTTCTTCAAGACCCTTTTCTGGTCTCTCCAACTTCAGATTTGTAACCTGCCCGGCCCCTGTGGGATTCATAGCAGGGCCCCCCCAGGCGTGTCCATTTCTAGCCTCATGGCAGCCGTGTAGGCGAGGCCGAACGAGAAGGCCGTGGGCTCCAGGGTTCCCTCTAAGCTGAGCTAGTGTGAGCCAGCTCACCGCTGTTTAGCCTCCGACGCAGACATTTTTGTCTCAGGAAGGGATGGCTCCAGACCAAGCTAATTTATGCAGTAGCCAAATTGCTCGCTCACAACTTCAATGCCAGCAGCTCACAAAGTAGGATTTTTGCTCACAGGACTCTCCACAGCCCCCCTTCAGCACATGCTGAGTTCCAGCCTCACTTTCCCCCACGCTAGCTGGGCCATGCTGAGCGGAGGGGGATGTCCCAGGAGCCCCCTTTCCCTCCGAGGAGCCTGCCTTCTGCCCAGAGGGATTCCAGGCTCAGACTCCTAGCCAGGCTCCTCTCTCTCTCTCTCTCTCTCTCTCTCTCTGTCTCCCCCCCTCCTCCCCGCAGGCCGGGGCAAGTCGTTCCGCCTGAAGCTGCCGGCTCTGCTGGCCTTGGCGGGGAGCAAGCAGTCCCTGCCGCAGGATGACCCGGACGAGGCCGTGGTGGTGGACTTCTCCAAGCACAGCAGCGATTCGGTGGCGCTGGACGAGGCCCCCTCCTCCCTGGACAACCACTGCCTGGGCTACGGGGAGCCCGAGGACCGCCAGGCCTTGATGGAGCGCGAGGGGGGCAGGGAGCCGGAGCCCCCCGTCACCCACTCCTCGCCCCGGGCGGACAAGGCCCGCCTCAACCTGGACGCCTCCTTCTCCAACTGCAGCCTGGCCCGCAGCCGCTCCCGCGAGAGCTTCTACAGCATGCGCCGGGCCTCCTCCGTGGACGACATCGAGGCCATGAAGGGCGACGGGGACAAGGGGCGGGGACACAGCCGCCACGCCAGCACAGGTATCCCGGGGCGTGGGGGGTTGGCAAGAGGGGGTGCCGCGTGAGCGGTTGGGGGTCCGCAGGTGTGGCCCAGCAAGAGAGTCCCGCGGGGGGGGGGGGCTGGAGCTAGAGTCCCTTTCGGGGTGAGATGTTCATCTCTCCCCAGCAGTGCCCAAGACGAGGAGGCCGAAGTTGAAGGGAGGGAGCTGGCGGGCTTCTCGCCGAGGGCAGCAGCAGCAGCAGCGCTTTGGGGCCCCCGGCTGACTGGGAAGAGTCTTTGAAGGGGGCGGGGGGGGCGGACGAGCTCCACCCCAGTGCTGGCACAGGCCCCTCACGGCTGCCCTGCAGGGTCGGACCAGGGCCCAGAGTCCCGTCCTGCAGTCTGTTTCCCGCAGTGGCCACCCACTGGACCAGGGTTCCCTCTAAGCTGGGTTAGTGTGAGCGAGCTCACAGTTCTTTAGCCTCCGGCTCACACATTGTTTGTCTCAGCTCAGGAAGGAGGGGTCCAGCGCAAACTGATTGATGCAGTAGCCAAATGGCTCGCTCACAACTTCAATGCCAGCAGCTCACAGAGTAGGATTTTTGCTCACAAGAAGACTCTGCCGCTGAGAGGGAGGCATTGCACTGGCCAGCCTGAAGGCCACAAGTGGGTCGTGGAGGCCGCAGGCTCCCCCCCCCCACAAGTGGCACTCAGAGATGCAGGGCCTCTGGCCGTGAAGCTCCCTTGAGCAGCCACCTGCTCCAATAGCTGTCGGGGGACTGGCCTTGCCCCACCCCCACCCCCCAGTTTGGTGCTGCAAGAGACCTGAACCTGAGCCGTCAGAGGAGCTGGTGGTGACCCTGCCCGTGTCATGCAGCGGCCAGTCCCGTGAACAAGCCACCCTGGTTAGGCACAGAGAGTGTCCATGAAAAGGGGTTTGGCCCCTCGCAGGTCTCGGGAGGGCGGGAGGAGGTGTGCCCCGTGACTGGCCGGTTGCAGGTTTCTCAGGGGTGTTTTCTGCGGCTGAATTGGTGCCCAGCAAACACTCACATGAATCATGTGCAGGACCACGGCCTGTTGCATTTGTGTCCTGGCCAGTGCTCCCTCTAAGCTGTGGAGACTTCTTGTGAGCAACAATTCTGCTACGTGAGCAACTGGCATTAAAGTTGTGAGGGAGCCATTTGGCTGCTGCAAAAATTAGTTTGCTCTGGAGCCCTCCTCCTTCCTGAGCTGAGACAAAAATGTGTGAGCTCTCCTAGGAGGATGCTCCTTCCTGGGGGAGGGACGGAGAGGACTTTTGAAAGGGCCCTTAAACTCCAAGGGGTCCTGCTGGGGACGGGCCGCCAGCCCAGGCTTCCAGTGGGAAAGCAGCACCTTGGATCGGAGGCGGAAGTGACCGGCCGGCCTGCCCGGAGATCACAGGGTTGGTCGGTCGGTGTTGGTCAGTCTTGTCTCCGCCAAGCAGCCAGGCCTAGCTAGCCTGGAGGCTGCTGTCTTTCTCATCAGTTCCAGTCCCCAAATGGCATCCAAGGGCAGCACTCTGCGCCCCATGTCACTGTCGCCTGAACTGGCACGGCCGCCTTCCCTGGGCCCGAGAAGGGAGACGGCCTCTGAACAGACAAGGAGCCCTTTTGGCTAACACCCCCCCCCGAGCCTGTCTCCTCCCTGAGCCGCTGAGTCTGGGGGGGGGGAGCAGAGGGGCACCCCTCTCCCCTCCCC